AAGAGAGGAAAAAATAATACAAGATGAAATCAGAGAGGGAGACAAACCATAAGAGACTCTTAAACTGAGGGTTGCTGGAGGGGAGGGGGTGGGGGATGGGGTAACTGGGTGATGGGCATTAAGGAGGGCATGTGATGTGATGAACCCTGGGTATTATATACAACTGATGAATCATAGACCTCTATCTCTGAAGCCAATAATACATTATATGTTAATTATTTGAATTTAAGTGAAAAGAAAAAAAGAATAAAATCTTACTTTGATAAATTTGATGACTGATAACCTGAAAGAGTATTTGAAAAAGAGTAATTACCTTAAACATTAGTTAAGATAACTAGTAACTACTAGTAATGCATTAAATAGGACTATAAAGCAATGACATTTCAAACTGTGGTATTAAAACAATAAAAAAGAGAAGGAACTTTTTTTTTTTTTTTAAGATTTTATTTCTTTATTTGAGAGAGAGAATGAGAGACAGCACGAGAGGGAAGCGGGTCAGAGGGAGAAGCAGACCCCCCGCTGAGCAGGGAGCCCGATGCGGGACTTGATCCCGGGACTCCAGGATCATGACCTGAGCCGAAGGCAGTCGCTTAACCAACTGAGCCACCCAGGCGCCCTGAGAAGGAACTTTGTAATACATGTGTTGAAAAGACTGATTAGCAATTAAAAAAAAATATATATTGATCCTTACAACAATAACTCTGGGACCCTGGCAGGACATATCACATTATTTTTATTTCACCAACGCAGAGAAAATAAATCCCTGGCCCAGGGCTTCATATACATTCTGGATTTCTGAGTCATGACCGAGAGGAGGTTCTGGGCTTGGACATTCCTCAGAGAACCAGTCCTTTGGAGGCAGCCTGGGTTCTTCTCTAATCTGGGTCTTGAGCAAGAGACTGAACCCAGCCATAGAGGTTTGAGCCAATAGTCTGTATACTCATGGAGTCCTGGAAGAGGCATGGGCTTTCTGTGCAATTTCCTACATTACTGCCCACGGAGCTTCCATAATGACACTACTTGCCATGCAATCTATTCCTTCTACACAGTGAGGACCAGATGCAACAACAGTAAATCTACTGATAATTATTTCTCTACCTGCCCATTCATCCATTCATCATTTCTTAGCTCTGCTCACTCAAAGAGCCTAGAAATGATAGTCCAGTAGCAATGAGCACACCTGGCCCCAGATCTTAGTTTCTAAATGTTAAATCCTACAAAAAGAAACCAGGGTTTCCTGGGGGAAATTGATGATTCCAGGACTTTGACAGAAAAAGTGCAAGGTGAGCCTGGGATAGCTCTTGCCAGATAGCAAAGAAGCAATCAAAGATTAATGAGATCCTGTCAGAAGAACACAGATCTTAAAAGTTCTCATCAAAAGAAAAAAAACTATTTTTGTAACTACATGTTGTGGTGGATGGTAACTAAACTCATCATGGTAATCATTTCACAATATATACATATATCAAATCATTATGTGTGATTTATATCTCAATTCAAACAAAACACAACACAACACAGGAGCTGGCCTGAAGGGACTCTTCTTGGCCAAATTTGGAATAATTTGAGTACCAAAAAAGATTAATGATGATAATGGGCTATATTACACACTGAATTAAAAAAAAAAAAAACATGAGTCTGTGTCACTCCAAAAAGAAAAAAAGACAGGGAGAGTGAGAAAGACACATACACAGAGGAAAAAATTATTCTATAACAAAGAATACCAGTCAATAAACAAAGAATGGCATAATTAGAAAATCACCATTTTGCAACCCTCAATGTTGCAATTCGGGCAAGGATCATCAATGGATGTAGTGAAAGGTATAGTGAACACACAATTTCGACCTTCTCAAAGACTCACTCCAAAGACTAATTACAGTGGGAAAAAGTACAGAGATGGGGAGATCAGGCGGTCGTGACCTTAACCAACAATCAAATTTAGCATTCATGGACAGTAGGACCCTGATATCATATACTTCCTGATGTGATGCAATAAGTATACAGCACTGTGAGAAAGAAAAAAAAAATCCTGAATCTGATCATTGATAAAATACTCAAACCCAAATTTACACAGGTTGAGGAGGCTCTTTCTAGATTAAATGAGATGCTCAAAGAGATATAACTAAATACCACACATGAATCTTGACTACATCTGGTAAAAAAAAAACTCTGTAAGATATTTTTTGGCAGTTGGAGAAATCTGAATATCCACTGGTTATTAGATAATATTGACTTCTTTCAAATTTTCTTAGGTATGAGAATGGTATTACGGTCATGTCAGAGAATTCTGTAATGAGGATACATGCTGAAGAATCTAGGGGACAGGGTGTCAAGACATCTGTAACTTTTAAACCGTTCAGCAAAAAGGTGTGTGTGTTTGTGTGTATAAAAGCAAAGGCAGCAAAGGGTGAATTGGTGTAGCTAGGTGAAAAGCCACCCTTTAAACTTTTCTGTAGCCTTGAAAGTTCTAAAAATATTTTTATTTTGAAAGGGGGAAGAAAAGAATGCTTCCCTCATAGGACGACAGATGTAAAATTCCAGTCAGAGTGCCCGGCCCCAATAAATAGCCAGGTTCAACAAACAGGTTTGTTATTACTACTCCCAAGAAGCATTATAATCTGGTCATTCTCCTCTCCACGTACTGCTGTGCTGTGGAGGATGAGGTAGCAAACCAGGGCGAAGCTAAAAGAGCCCACAGTTGGTGGTGGAAATAGAAGTTAAACCTGCGTGGTCTCTCTCCACAGAACCACCACTCACAGAAAGCACGGCACGAGGCCTGCCTGTTTCTGTGCTGGGACCCAGGCTGGGACAAGATGGCTGTTCAGGCCTTGCTTCCCTCGCCTCTTCCCGAAACCCAGAGTCTCTGCTACTACAGCAAGAAAGAACTTCCTGTTACAGCCCACTGAGAATGGTCACAAAGAGGGGCCCATTCTGGGCCTCAGAAATGTTGTGGAGGGGCTTTGGCATCCCCTGGGCCTGTACTAGCTGTGTGGGCCTGGGCCAACTCCCCGATTGCTGGTGACTGTATCTACAGCAGTAATGATAATGCATGACATTTAGGAGCAGCTATTCCTACGCTGGGCACTTTATGTCTGTTGATTTCATAAATGAAGTAGATACTATTCCTCTCCCTACTTTAGAGACCAACTATGCCAGGCCCTCTCCCATCTCCGAAATTTGGTACCTGCCATCCCTTCTGCCTGCACTTTGAAGGAAAATCCCATTCATCTGCCAGGCCCTTCAGCTGGAATTCCTTCCTTCCTTCTTTCTCTACATCTCCAGAGCATTTTATTTTCCATCCTTTACCAAAGTCTGCTTTGCCTGAGTAGATGGGTGCCTGACCATCCTGTTGGGGCTGGGATCTCCCCTCTCTGTATCCCCTGAAGCAGGCAGAATAGGAGAAGGGGAAGAAATTTCTTCGCTGCTTAGTCAGATCCATTTTCCTCACCCCAGACTGACATCTACCAATGGGGGGGGGGCGGTTATGACCATTTCCTGAATTTTAAAACATTTTTATTTTAAAACACTTTAAGTTTCAATTTGGAATCTAAGGCAAGGCCCAGGTGACCACATGGAAGTGAATGTAGGAATTCCCACCGTGTAGGAGATAGATTGAATATGGCTGGGTAAATTTCAAGGGTGACAATACTCAGAGTGAGTAATGTGTCTCCCAGTAAAACAAAATGAGACTCCTTCGCGCCCCCACAATCCACCAGGATAAAAACTGGCTCACAGCTTGGGGACTGTATGGGAGCACTGCCCCTCACCTTCCCTTCCTGGCCTCCCCACACCCAACAGCTTCAGTCCTGTATTGCCCAGTTCATATCTCTACGAAGCCCACAGGCAGCTCCATTACCCCATAACCCACACTGTAGTGGGAAAAGGTGTCGTCTGCACTCAGGTGACACGGACCCTGCAGTGAGCTGCCCAGTTGGAGGAGGGAAGCCACCTCACCTGGCAACCTGACTTGCCCATTGGCCACAGCAGAGTATTCTCTTACCTGGTGCACACTCCCAACCACCACCACCATCCCCCATCCCCTTCCAGAATTTTCCCTCATCCTCTCAGCTTACTCTCAGATTTCATCTTGTGGTTTTCCTCAAGCACAAGCACTCTATTTCAACCACTCTCTTCCTTAAGGCCTTCCTGCTTCTCACAACCATGATAATTTATACAATTCAAATGTATCTCCTCATTACATCCTCACAATACCAATAGGAGGGTTGCCTTACAGGTTGGCACTCAGAAGGGTTGAAGCTGGTCCTGTCACACAACCTGCATAGGGCAAGACATCTAAACTTTTGTTTCTTCCTGCCATCCACTCCTGATTACTCCTGTAAACAGATACGGCGATGCCTTTAGTGTATGAGAGTTGAATGAGATCATGTGTGTGACGCACTGAGTTCAAGGGATGGGCTCCTTATTTCTATCACAAGGGAGGGAAGGTGTTCTGTGCATTCACCGGTGTTTGCCCACTCGGGCAACCCGGTACCCAAACCATATCAGCGCGTGGCCAACCCTGGGCTTTCCAAGGCTGTGCAGGATCCTTTTCATCTTTGTGTCTCTGCCCCACCTTCTCAAGTGCTTTTTGGCCCATTCCAACCAGTCTAACCGAGGCTTGCCTTATCGGCTTTCTCAGCACTCACTCCCCAGCCCTACCCTCCGGTTTCTCCGACCTCACCCGAGTTCTCCTCCTCACCTAGAGACTCCGCCCCTCCTTGCCCCACCCACCAGACTCCTCCCACAGTCTCGACCCTCTTTATCCGGGCTTTTCCAACCTTCCCCATCCATCCAGGCTCCTTCCACCAGCTCCGCCCCCTCTCCCCAATTATCGCCCCCTCCCCCGCAGCCTCTGGCGTTGCCATCCCCATTGCACGGATGAGAATGGCGAGGCTCGGATAGGTAAGATGACCTCTCATAGTAGGACAGGTGCCAGGTGGGCCCGCGTCCCCTCACCGGCTGTCTCTGAGCCCCGCGTCCCCGGCCGCGCCGCACCCACCTCCTGCCCTCGCTCTGCAGCCTCCCCTCCACGGGCGGCCAGCGCAGCTTTGCAAGGGGGGAGGAGGGCCGGAGCCCAGCCCAGGGGCGGGGCGGCGCGGGAGCCGCGCGCAGCTCTCCGGGACTTGTAGTTCTCTCTGGGTTCTTTGCGGCACGGTACGCCGAGCGCAAACTCCATCTCCCAGGAGGCATTGCAGTGAGCCCTCCAGCTCCCCGCTCGCCCAGGCTGGAGCTCAGACCGGCTGGTCTTAAAGGGGACGCAGCCTGAGTGGCGGTTCGCGGGGTGGCCCCCGCTCCGGCTCCTCCCCGTTTCCCGCACCTCGTCCCTCCCCACGCACCGTCCCGCAGCCCCGCAGCCCAGCGGCAGCGCGGCTGACTCGGGATCCCTGGGTTCAAGCTTGTGCAGAGCTGGGTGGGGAGTTTGGACTTTGCAGTGAAAGCAGCATCCCTGCCGGCTGGGACCTGGCGGAGGGCGTCCCCACTCCAGGGGGAGCAGAGGACTCGCCCTGACCTAGCCTGGCCTAGCCTATTCCTGCCAGGCCTGAGCGCCCCGCCCAGAAGCCGGCTCTGAGGCCGGGGCCACCGGGGTCCCAGAGGTAAGGGGGCCGGGGGCGTGTATGCAGGTTATGGGGAGGGAGTGTCTGCACCCTGGCGGTTCGAGAGCCCTGGGCAGGCGCGAAGGGCTCTGAGAGTTTGGGGCTGGGAGAAGGGAGGTCTAGGTGCATCTTGGGCCTCGCTGTGTGACCTTGGGCGAGTAGATGCCCCTCTCTGGGCTTCCACCTCCGTCATCAGTTGTGTTTGGAGGTGATCCCTCCCTCTCCCCCAATACAATGAAGCTCACCGGCCTTTGGTGGGGTCCGCAGCTCTAGCCTGGACTGGGCGACAGGGCACCGTTATAACTGAAAGGAGGGGTGGGGCTAAGATAGGGCACAAACTGGGGGGCCAAGAGGTTGCAACCGCTTGGAATGGGCTTTTGCTCTTCTCAGCATCCTCGCCCAGGCGTACTCCCCCTACAAGACTTGAGACTCCTTGTGTTAGCCTGGTGCCCACCCTTCCAGAAAGCCTGGTGTGGGGGTGGGGATGTGGCTATCTTAAGTACGTGAAGGGTGGCCCCAGCAGGGATGGGTGATTGTGGTGGGTTCCTGAGAAGGGAATATATGCTCTCTCTCCTCCCATTCCCCTCCACTTAAAGAGCGGTTGCTTTTTACCAGTAAAACCTTTTCTTTCTTTCTTCTTAGGAGACAGTTTGGTGGCCCAGACAAGGGCCTCCCAGTAGGAGGGCAAGGGGATCCTTCCCAGGGCTGCCTTGGGTAGAAGAAATTCAGTTATAAAAATTCAGATGCTGCTGTCCAGAGACATGGGTGGGGGGTTGCTGGGAGGGACACCTAGTGCTCCCCAGGCAGCTCTGGCACCCAGGGGAGTCAGAGGAGGTCGACTGGATGTGAGGGTCAGAGAGGAGAATAAATGGGCTCCTCAGCTCTTAGGTGCTAGGTTGGGGCTTGGAGGGTCCACTGTGCTCTAGGGTAGGGAGAGGTTGAGTGAGACCTTCCTGAAGCCCCCTCCCTGTCCTGTGAGATTCTGTGAGCTTTTGACCTGAAGGCTAAACAGGAACAGTTTTTGTTTTTCTTTTCTTCAGTTTTGGTTGTTTGAGTCATTTCTAAATGGCTAAATCCTCACTCAGTCCTGCCCAGTGACCTCAGTAGGGACTTTCTTGGCTAATGTTTGAATCTCAGGGTTATGGATATGCAGGACCAGACCTGGCAGACGAGAGGGCAGTGACTGGGCCAGTCCCTGGAGGGTGCTTTTCTGGTGACAGCTTTAGTTTTATCTCATCTTGCTGTCACATATCTTCCATTGGCCACTTAGCATGCCTTTGCCCCTGTGCCTGGTCCTGTGCTAAGCACAGATAGGGGATTGGACCTCCTTTGAAAGGAGATCCCAGCCTGGTGAGGGAGATAGACATAGAATCCAGTGACACTGCTGAGGGATGAGAAAAGCAAAGAGGGCCTTGGAAAGCTCAGAGACTTGGACTGCAGGGGGGTTAGGAAAGGCTTCCCAGAGGAGGGGGCATGTGACCTGGGCCTTGGAGGATGAGTCAGAATTTGCCAGAAGAGGGAAAAGCCTTTCCCAGCAGAGAGGACATCACCAAAAGGTGGGCAGCAGGAAAAGCCCACTGCCCATATTCCTTCAGATTTGTCGCCAAACAGTGTTGGTCAAGTTCATGTCTACCCCTGCCCTCCATCAGCCAAGTGTCACAGAAAGGGCTTGAATGTCAAGCTCAGGAGTTCAGATCTTATGCTGAAGGGGCTGGGGAGCCTTGAGAGTTATGAGCAGGGCATGGCAAGATGGACCTTATCATCTAATGAGATTAATCAGACGATGTTTGCAGAGTGGGTCACAGAGACCTGGGAGGGATGTGAGGAAGCCTGAATTGGGCCCAGGGTGTGGGGGCAGGGCATTGGACACACACACACACACACACACACAGACACGGTGCTTTGGGAGTGGTGGAGATGAGTCAGGCTTCACTAAGCAGGAACAGATACCTGTCAATACACAGTGGAAATGTGGAGGGTCATCCAAAAGGGACAGATAAAGGGATCTGGGCTTTCCAGGGGAGGGATCGTGATGTTCCTATATGTTACTGTGTGCCCTGGAGCAGACTGGGTGTTGCTGGGACTCTCAGGCTGTCATGCCAGCAATGAGAGGTATAAACCAAGGGCTCGGGGGAAGAGCAGCAGGATTGGCTGGGAAAGGCTAAGGGGTGGTCAGGTGGTCATCTCCCATTTGGGGGCTCAGAGGCTCAGAACCGTGAAAGAGCACCTACCTCAAGGCTTTGGGCACTATTGGGGCATGGTGCCTGGGCTAGATTCGAAGGCTGGACTCTATTCTGCAGAACACATACCTCTACTGGAGGATGGATTGAGGGAGGGAATGAGGAGATGGGGTTAGAAGGCTACTGCACTAGTCCAGGCAAGAAGTAAAGAGGAGCTGATCCTGGGTGCTGCTGGAGCTCAGGGCGAGATAGTGGAAACACTAATTTGGCAGTGAGGGATGAAATTCCTGGTAGAATCTGTGAGATCAGGAGTGTGTGTCTGCTTGTCTCCTTGCTTGACAGTGTCTGTTTCCCCACTTGGTGCCAGATGGCCCAAGAAGAGACTCATGACTGCCCCAGCTATCATCTTTTTTATATCTTGTCCCCTTCCCTGTCAGGGCTGAAATGGTCCCTATTTTCCAGTTGAAATAGCTGAGGAGCCTGGCAGGGACTCACCCAAGGTCACCTGGTGTTTCAGAAGCAGAGAACCTGGGTCTCCTGCTTTTCATGTGGGTTTTTCTTTTCCTTTTTTTTCTTTTTTAAGATTTTATTTGTTTGACAGAGAGAGACACAGCGAGAGAGGGAACACAAGCAGGGGGAGTGGGAGAGGGAGAAGCAGGCTTCCCGCCGAGTAGGGAGCCTGGATGCGGGGCTCGATCCCAGGACCCTGGGATCATGACCTGAGCCGAAGGCAAATGCTTAATGACTGAGCCACCCAGGCGCCCCTTCATGTGGGCTTTTCTAAGGAAGGATATGGCTGCTGTGTGCTGTGAGCCTGGTGCAGGGCAGCTGTCTCTTGGGTCAGAGCCAGTGTCGACAGGCCATCTCCTTGTCCAGAGCCTAGAGGAATAATCCAACCTTCCCCTGAGGAATGCTGGTGGTCTGCTGCTTCCTCCCCCAGGGAGACCAAGTGCACATTCTTATCCCACCCTGTCAAGGCTGCATCCCTCTTCTATGTTGATCCTCCACGTTCCCATGTGTGCCGTAGGGAAATCAGGCCTTGTCCTGCCTCCCTTCTGTGGCCTGTGATGAGGTCAGGTGAGCTCCAAGCCTCTAAAACCCTTTTGCATGAACGCACCCAAGATATTGAGTGGGTTTGGTTGGTGAATATGGTGACAGCTGACCTCAGACTGCCTGTGTGGGAGTGGGGGCAGGTAGGCAGGGCTTGCCTGGAGTGGCCGGGCCATGGACTGCACAGAGGCTGCATGGCTGGCCTCGGAGATCACAGCCCTCACAGAAGGGCACCACTGCTGGGCCTCCAGCCGCCAGGTGCAAAGGTATCAGGTAGAATGATATGAAATTGCCAACATCTGCTCCTTTGCTTTCATGTGGTTCAACCGGATATCACTTATCCCCATTTTACAGAACAGAAAAGAGGCTCATGATGTGATTTGCTCAAGGTCACATCATGAGTTGCAAGACTAGAATAAAATTTGCCCAAGGTCACACTAGAACTTAGGACTCGCCATTCCTGGTCTGTTTTTCTTTCCATTTCCAGAACCTTCCCTAGTTTTAGAACCCCATTTCTGCCTGCCCCCAGGCCCTCTTCTTCCATACATGATGTCAATATCCCATCGATTAGGGTTTCTTCTTGGCTGCCTGAATAACAGAATTTCTTGGCATCCTGGGTTGAAAGCATATTAAGTCCACTAGCCTGGAGGGCAGGGTGGGGATTTGCAAGGATGGTCTACAAGGGAGGTTGGTCACAAACACTGCCTAGGAAAGAGAAGACCAGAAATGAAGGGAGACCAGTTTTTTAAAGGCCTTTGAGATTATGCCTTGCGTTGGCACTCTTTACCAACACGTCTGTCTCCACCACCAGACTGGAAGTTCCTAAGGGCAAGGGCTTTGCTTCTAAAGCGAAGGGGACTGATTCATTGAGCACTTCCCTGCAGAGTGGAAATAGACTCAGAGAACATAAGTAACAGGGATGGTAAGCAGACTTCATTTCCAGATGAATCTCATTCAGAGTAAAAAGAGTTTAACACACTATTCCAGGAGGCTTGGAGTGGGCCCTGGGCATATGAATTTGTGCTAAGTTACCAGGTGGTTCTGAGGCAGCCAAGCCAGTGTTTGGGAACCACTGATCTGTACTCTGGCTTCACCTCTAGTAATCTCAGATGCCAGCCATTGAGAAGTAAGTCCTAGTTCCTGCCCTAAGGAACTCACGGCCTGGTGAGGGAGACAAACAAATGGGCCCATTGCTTTTAACACATGCAATAATGGAAGCTTGGTCTCAGCCAAGAGCTAGGACAGAGAACGGAGCGTCTCCGTAGGGCCTAGCACAGAGTCTGGGTCCCACAATATCTGTGTTGTTTTTTTTTTTAAAGATTTTTTATTTATTTATTTGAGAGAGAGAGAATGAGAGAGAGCAAGTACATGAGAGGGGGGAGGGTCAGAGGGAGAAGCAGACTCCCCGCTGAGCAGGGAGCCCGATGTGGGCCTCGATCCCGGGACTCCAGGATCATGACCTGAGCCGAAGGCAGTCGCTTAACCAACTGAGCCACCTGGGCGCCCCAATATCTGTGGTTTTGAATAAAAGTTTCTGGCCTCTCATTTAGTAAATGTATGGCTTGTCTTCACACCAACTCCAGGTCTCAAAATAATTTTTACCGAGCCAGTAAGTTTAAACACCTACTGTATGCTGAACCTTATATCAGGTCCTGCCTAGAGTGGGATTATACAAAGAAGAAATGGCCCTGTCTTCTTGGAGCTGAAAGTTGGATATTAAGACAACAAGCTTTACCTTTGTGAACCAGCATGAAAATCAGGAGTAAAAGTGGGTCAGCTTGGGAGAAAGGCTTCTAGGAAACTGCCCTAAGGGAGAGGAAAGGCAAAGGGAAGGCTACTATGCTCAGAGGAATAAGGTAGCAGTAACTCACACCATATTTTGCATTTGCTTCTTCAACAAATGCCTACTATGTGCCAGGCACTGGCCTAGGTGAATGAACAAAACTGACATGGTTCCAGCCCTCAGAAGGAGGCTGACTCCAACCAAGGAATCATGATAAGTACCGTAAAGGAGGACAAGGGCTCTGAAATTGTTAACAGGCATGTTTGATCCAAACAGAGGTTAGGCAAGGCTTCCTTGAGGAAGTGAGTTTGCGCTGAAGTCTGCAGGGTGAGTCAAGCAAGGAGGGGAGGGAAGAACATATCAAAGGGCGCAGTGGCAGGGAGAACACAGTGAGTCGAGAGTGAGGGGCTGGTGTGGACTCAGGCTGGGGAGGGGCAGGCAGGGCCTTGAGCGTGCAAGGCTGTGGAGCTAGGCCTAGAGGCAGGGCAGGCCGCAGACATGATAAACTCTGCTTCATTGGAGGGAATTATGGGATCCCAGCTGTGATGGAGAAATAAGCCACAGGGGGCTGTAGGAATGGAGGGTGAGGGATGTTCTGTTTGAAGACAGCGTGTTGGAGGTAAGCTTTGAAGGAGAACAGGAGTTTGGCTGTGTGGGTGGTGGTGGAGGTCTGGGGAGATAGGATGTTTCAGGCAAAAAGCACAACATACACAAAGAAGTGGAGCCTTAGAAAGGTGTAGATCACTTGGGAAACAGCAAGAAGTTGATTTGGGGCAAAATAAAGTGTGCAGGGATCTCCCCGTTGATCCTTCCTTGGGACCCTAAGCCTGCCTGCCCCCCCTCCTTGGAGGTGTGATTTTGTGTATGTCCCCTCTCATCTTCCCCGACAGGACAGGACTTGGCCAAGATTTTGGACAACAGCTTCTATAACCAGCTTCTACCAGCCCCACGAGTGGATGAGGTCACCAGGGAGGCCTGGGGAGAGAAGGGCAAAAGAGTGGGGGAAAGGGTGGAAGGTTGAGATACTGCTTTTGTGAGATTAAAGACGCTCATCAGCAATAACCACAACTCCCTGGGGGCTCATTACAGGCCAGGCATTGCACTTTACTTCATTCCGATACCTCCCCGTGAGGTATCCTCGCCCCATTTCACAGGTGATGAAACGGAGGCCCAGAAAGGTGGTTGCTCGCCCCAGGTGTTATGCAGGGGCCCCCTTGGGGCACTGGATCGGTTGGCCCAAGTGTGACCGTGCTCCCTGTCTCCTGCAGCGTGGCGCCATGGACAAGATCCTGGAGGCGGTGGTGACGTCCTCGTACCCCCTGAGCGTGAAGCAGGGGCTGGTGCGGCGCGTGCTGGAGGCCGCGCGGCAGCCGCTGGAGCGGGAGCAGTGCCTGGCGCTGCTGGCGCTGGGCGCGCGCCTCTACGTGAGCGGAGCTGACGAGCTGCCCCGCCGCGTGGGCTGCCAGCTGCTGCACGTGGCCGGCCGCCACCACCCCGACGTCTTCGCGGAGTTTTTCAGCGCGCGCCGCGTGCTTCGCCTGCTGCAGGGGGGCGCCGGCCCGCCGGGCGTCCGCGCGCTCGCCTGCGTGCAGCTCGGCCTGCAGCTGTTGCCCGAGGGGCCGGCAGCCGACGAGGTGTTCGCGCTGCTGCGGAGGGAGGTGCTGCGCACCGTGTGCGAGCGCCCGGGGCCCGCCGTCTGCGCTCAGGTGGCGCGGCTGCTGGCGCGACACCCGCGCTGCGTCCCCGACGGCCCGCACCGCCTGCTCTTCTGCCAGCAGCTGGTGCGCTGCCTCGGCCGCTTCCGCTGCCCGGCCGAGGGCGAGGAGGGCGCCGTGGAGTTCCTGGAGCAGGCCCAGCAGGTGAGCGGGCTCCTGGCGCAGTTGTGGCGCGCCCAGCCCGCCGCCATCTTGCCTTGCCTGAAGGAGCTGTTCGCTGTCATCTCCTGCACAGGTGCGTGTGGGCTGGGGCCCGGGCCGGGGCGGGAGCGCGTGCGCGCCGGGGGCCGGATGTGCGCCGGGCCCGTGACTGCACGTGCAGGGTCTTGTGCTTGGCGTGCCCGTGTCGAGGTATGGCAGGTGTGTGTGCGAGGGGCTAATGAACAGGTGCGGGAATGCGATGTTCCTTAATTAGCAGGGCTCTCCTGAGCCCGTGCAGTGAGAACTATCCTGTGGTGGGTGCTGGGCACATAGGGAGGAGCGGACCCAGATCAAGCTGGCCAGAAGGGGGACTGGGGTCGTGAGACAACAGAAAGGGGTGGGGAGGTGTGGATGTCATCATGCCCTTTGGGTCAGGTGGGTTTTGTAGAAGTGGTGACTTTTGATTCAGGTTTTGAGAGCTGGGCAGCAGCAGGGGCAAGGTGCTCAGGGCAGGCAGAGGCCAAGTTCTGGACATGCGATGGAGCCTGTGCATCTCCACTCTGAAATGTAAACTCTCGGTCCTCCACTAACAACTGTGGTACTTGGACTACAGTTATAAATGAGCGAAAGACGATCGGTGCCTTACCTGATTATAGGGCTATTCAGTTGAAAGGAAGAGAAGGCACCTGGCAGGCGAAAGAACCAAGCCCCGATGTATAAGCAGTTATCCAATTGGACAACACATTTTGATAACTAAATGCTCTTTTTCACCTCTAGGCCTTTGTGTGTGTTTCCATCTGGAAACACACCTGTTCTTCTACCTGTTCTTGCCAGCTCCAGTGTTACCCTTTCTTACAGACCTTGTCTGTATAGACACAGGTGGGGGGGGGGTCAGTGCTTTTGTCTGTGCTCAGTGCAGGGCTGGGCCCCAAGCCATGGCAGTGAAGGTTTGTTGGGCAAATAAACTAAGGTGGGATAGGAGGCTGTGATGTTGTAGGAGGTGAGGAGGTGGCCCCAATGTGCTCTTTGCAGAAGCCTGGTCTCGTTCCTTGGGAGCATGAGGGCATGGGGGACTGGGGGAGGTGAGGAGCCTACCTGCCTTGCTAAGCTCATCCCAGCCCCCACACCGTTCCAGAGGAAGAGCCGCCATCTAGTGCCCTGGCCAGCGTGGTTCAGCACCTACCGTTGGAGCTTATGGACGGCGTCGTCCGGAACCTCAGCAATGATGACAGTGTGACAGACTCTCAGATGCTGACTGCCATCAGCAGGTGGGCTGAGGGCTGGGTGGTGGTTAGGTGTCTCTCCCTCCTTCCACTGGGTGGGGTTGCTGGGCTAGATTTAGTGTCAGAAGGCCCAGGACCTCATGCTTTTTTCATTCGTCCATCCTTTCTTGAGCCCTGCTCTGTGCATGGCCCAGGGCTGGATGTGGCAGATGCAAAGAACCTTTCCCTAGAGATGCTCTCAGGTTGGGTGCCAACTGTGTGATCCTGGACAAGTCAGTGAACTCTCTGAGCCTCAGTTTCCCCCCCTGTAATAGCAAAGATGGTATAAGGAGTTGTCAGGCTTCCATGGGGCCATACTAGAAGCTGAAAGTATGTTACAGAGTGCTTCTTGAGTTTGGCAGGTATGATAAATGGAATTGGGGTGCTTTTTATCTCACAGCTTTTGCACACTCCCCCACCTCATTTGAATGTCATCACACCTGTGATCTAGCCACACCTGCCTATCCATTGATCCCAGAATATGCTGCCTTCCCTCCTGCCTACAGGCCTTTGGCTTTGTAGATCCTATTCACCTGGCATGCCTCCCCCACCATGCTTTCCATACCTGTGTGCAGATCTACCATCTCCATTAGGCCTTCTTGGATTTCTTGTCTTTAGTGCATAGTGTGGGCTCTAGAGGTAAGCTGGTTGGGTGCAGATCCTGGCTCTACTACTTCTTGTCTGTGTGACTTTGGGCAAGTTACTCCACTTCTGTAGGCCTCTGCTTCCTCATTTATAAAATGTAGTGTAATTGAACCCATCATAACAGGGTTGTTGCAAAGATTACATAAAATGAGATAATACATGCAAAGTGTTTAGAGCAGTGATGGTAGCTACTGTCATAATTACTATTGCTTTGGTCTGTCATTTTTCTATCTCTTTATAGCATAGTCTTATGAATGTAAAAGTAATGACGTAATGCCATTTTCCTGAGCACTTACTATGTGGCAGCTTCATGCTCTGTGCACAGAACCATTATCTTGTGGGGATCGGATGGGTTAATACATGTAAGGCAGATGGAATAGTGTGTGGTGCAGAGTGAATACTGTGAGAGTTAACTATTGTCATGTCTTTTAACTCATATAACAACTCTGTGAGGTAGGTATTATCCCCATTTTGCAGAGGAGGAAACCGAGGCTAGAGAGGGTGACTTGTTCTAGGTCACAAGCAAGAGTTTGCTGGAGCCAAAGCTTCCAGCGTGGCGGGGGTGGGGGGCAGTGCTGCTCCTGCTGTTGGGTCCCATGGTCCAGGCAGAGGCGGCTGACAGCCCTGTTCTACCACTGCAGCCTAGTGTGTGGGGTGAGGTTTGGAGTGTTGAGAGGGTCTGGTTCCCCTCCTGCTGGGCTGGGAGCCCCAGTCTCTGCCGAATGCCCATGCTGGGCTCATTGGCAGTTCTCAGAGGTGTCTTGTCCATCCCATGGACCCCAGGGCTGCTCTGTGCAGGTGTGGGTCAGTGTGGGGTCTCAGGACATTATAGCTTGTCCCTGGGATGCCCTCACCCAGGCATTTGGGCCTCCCTGGTCCTTGTGTCATTGCCGCTCCCCTCTCCAGGATGATCGACTGGGTGTCGTGGCCCCTGGGGAAGAACATTGACAAGTGGATCATTGCACTGTTGAAGGGCCTGGCTGCTGTTAAGAAGTTCAGCATCTTGATAGAGGTTTCACTCGCCAAAATTGAGAAGGTTGGTGGGCCACTGTCCTAGCCCTGGCTTATGGCTTTTCCCACTTAGCTTTTGCCAGGGACAGTGTGGGCCTGGGAGGCAGAGCACTGGGGCTCCCACCCAGGCTTGCTGTGACCCGGGACAATTCACTGTACTTGTCTGGGCCTCAGATTTCCCCTGTTCATTCCTCTGCTCGCTCAAGAATGTGTGTCACTTTTGGTCTTTCTGTCTCTCCATCCCTCCCATCAGATACCTGTCTTGCTGTCCATCTGTCCATCAACCTAGGTCTGTGAGACTGTCTGTGTTCTTGGTTCTGCATGGGTCTGTTGCTTCAACTCTGGTGTGTCTGACCACCTCTCAGGTCTGTGGCTGCACTTGGTCTCTGAGGCCCAGGCGTGGGGAACTCCTGACCAGGGACTCTCTTCCAGGTTTTCTCCAAGCTTCTGTACCCCATTGTCCGGGGAGCTGCCTTGTCTGTCCTCAAGTACATGCTCCTGACCTTCCAGCACTCCCATGAGGCCTTCCACCTGGTAAGGGCCCTATGTGCTGCCCTGTGGAGGGCCAGTCCTCCATCCCCTACTGGTTTGGCTGGAGTCCAGACATGCTGTCTCTATTGGGTTGGGGGTTTGAAGCCCAAGACCTTGAAGTCCTGGATGTTAGGACTGGAGGAGCCTTGAAACTCCATTTTACAGATAGGAGACTAAGGCCAGAGAATGTGTATGGCTTCCCCACAGGCCCACGGTAGAGTGACAGCCCTAGAATGATGACGGCTAATGTTGCTTAGGGGCCTGCTGTGTGGCAGGCACGGTACTAAAGACAGTACATATGTTAACTCTCAGTCCAGCCCTAAGAGGGAGAATTCTATCATATTTTCCATTTTTCAGCTGAGGAAACTTCAGGTTAGGGAGGTTAAATCATTTGTCCCAGACACAACTGGTGAGCGATACGGGGAAGGTTCTAACTAAGTTGGTCTGACTTCTGACCCAGTGTCCTTCCGATATACCCTGCTGCCGACCAGCACCCACGTGGCCTGGCCTCCAGCCCAGGGCCCTTTCTGTTATCTTTGGGGCCATCCTTTGGGAAGGACAGCCTATAGTTCTTGTGGGGCGGGGGAGGGAAGGAGGGCCTACCCCCTTGCCTTCCTTTCCCCAGACCTGACCTGCAGATGGGGCCCTAGATTCTGATGGCTCCTGGTCAGGGCAGAAATTTCATGCTTTCTAATTTGCCGCAGTGGGAAAAGCGCAGAACCAGGGATTGGGGTACTGGGGGTTGAGTCCCATCTCCATCGTTTGCCAGATGTGATGACCTTGGGCCAGGCGCTTAACCTCTGAGGGCTTGGAACAGGGTAAGCCCCCAGGATGGTGGGAGAGGGTTAGACGAGGTGATATTTGTCAAAAGCCTGCTGCATACTAGGGACCAGATAGATACTTGTTTCTTCCCATCCTTCTCCTGGGTTCCCTACTCCCAGTTCCTGTGGGCTGACTCTGTTCCTCCCTGGGACATTACGGTAGAGCACCCCGTGGGTTTGTAAGTTAGCCTTCCATAGGCCAGAGGAAAACGGCTTTGTTTTAGACATCAGCTTCTCCTATAACACATGGTGGAAGTTCTTGGTAAATTATATAATATCTCTAACTTCAGTTTCTTGATCTATAAAATGGGGATGATAATTGCTGAATAAAGTCATTGTGAGGGTGAAATGTTGGGCATGTAAATGTTTGGTGAAAGAAGGGTGGTAGAAAGAAGAATAACCCTGGTCACTCAGGCCTCAGGCCAGTTGGCTTGGCTTAACAGCTGGGGCTTGGGCCCAGGCCACGCCTCAACTGTGAGGAGGGAATTGTTTATCCCATTTAATAGACGAAGAGACTGAAGCAGGATATCTAAGCTCACGTGTCCTGTAGAAAGAGTCACTCGCCTCCCTAGCACAGAGCTCTGTGTAGGCAAGGGGGACAGTGGCCAGGTGGTCAGACCTCCCTGCTGTGAGGAGCTCGGGGTATCTTCAGCTCTGCCCACCAACCCCTGTCTCGGGTGGTAAATGGTCCTGAGCCTAATCGTGCTCTGCTCTCATAGCTCCTCCCTCACATCCCGCCCATGGTGGCCTCTCTGGTCAAGGAGGACTCCAACTCGGGGACCAGCTGCCTGGAGCAGCTAGCAGAGCTGGTCCACTGCATGGTCTTCCGGTTCCCAGGCTTCCCAGATCTGTACGAGCCTGTCATGGAGGCCATTAAGGTGAGTGACGCTGTCCCCCCTGCTTCCTTGTCCCGCTCCAAAAAGAGTGCTGGCTTGGGCCTTGCTCAAGGCCGTAACACAGGTTAATGGCAGCCCCCCCATCATTTGGTCTCTGCCTGTGTCCCATCACCTCCTCTGGCCCATTCTGTACTTCAGGCACACTCAGCCACCTGCCCTTTCCCCAGATGGTCATCGCTCATGATTGCTCTGAGCCTTTGCATATGCCATTCTCTCTGACTATAAACCCTTCTCTTGCTTTGCCTTCATAGCTCCTCTTCCCATCCAATCTTACCCATTAAGGCTCTGCTCAAGTGTTACCTCCCTCAGAAAGCCTTCCCTGACAAGTCTTGATACCCCCTCCCCACCCCAGGCTGGGTCAGGACTTTTCTGGGCTCCCACAGCTCCATATCCCTTTGTCTTGTGTTGTCGCTGTCTATCTCCCCCCCCACCCCCCCACCCCCTGGCTAGGGCACTCCAGAGCAGTGTTCACATGGCTTTACTGGTGCCCTGCTTTGTGCTAGACCCAGGCTGGGAACTGGGGACACAGGCACGAGGCAGACCAAGTCGCCTCCACTGAGGAGCTTGCAGCCTAGGCTTGCACAGAAGTAACTCTGATGCAAATGGTTTAGGAAATTCCTGTGAGGAACCAGAGAAGGGAAGGATCATTTCCAGTTAGAGGAGGAAGTTACAAGGACGAAGGGACTTCTGACCTGGGTTGCTAGGACAACAGCATTTGTAGGTAGTGCCACATTTGACAATGTCTTCCATATATTTTGTTTTTTAATGCTCACAAGACACAAGAAACAAGAAGCAGGTACTGTTGTTACCTGAATTTCATAGATGAGGGAAATGAGACTGGAGAGGCTTGGTGACTCGTGCAGTCATGGAGGTAGTGAGAGACACACACAAGCAGGGTGCCTGGTTGCTGAGCCCTTTCCTATTGCCTGATACAGAGGGCAGGTCTGAGCATGGGTGAAGGAGCTCTAGGTGTAGGTGGTGGCCCTTATAGAACCTCTGATCTGACTTCCATTTCTGTAGCATAGCAGATAGATAACCTGAAAAGCATCCCACTACAGAACACCTAGAAATGCTTGTTAAAATATAACAAACGTCTTTTTAAGTACATAGCTGAGCTTGCAAGAAAGTAATGGGGAATCCCCAGGGGCCAAAAAGGAATCGAGAACGAATCCAGAATGGTAAGTGAGAGATGATGCTCTTTTGCCCTGCGGTGGGGAGGGAAGGGGAAGGGTGTAACCATAGTCACTAAGCCACTTGAGCTTATAGGGACAGGAGGTGATGCTTAGGGCCTGCTCCCACTAGGGCATTAGCACTAAGAGGCCCATGTAAGCCAGGACCCAAAGGCTTTACTGTTAGTAAAAGAGTGATCTAGAAAAAATATATACATGGTCTCAAATAGATGTCAAGGAAACTTTTCTGGCTTGGTCTGCACTCTGGACTGGGAAAAATGAAATTTGTCATCATTGGCCTGCTCTTACATGGGTTTAGGGGTTCAAGTTCTCATTGTCTTTGGGGTTGTGGGACCCCTAAGCTCAGGCACTCACATTAAAAGTAGTCATGACCTTGTAATACCCAGCAGTTGCCTTGTAGAAACGAAAGTTTCTTGAAAGCTTTCAAGTCACAAAGATAAAATTTTGCTAAAGATGAGTTTATAATCCAAAAATTACAAAACACACAAGGGAACAATCCACCACGAGTGAGAGTCAGTTGATACTTTTAAACAAAACCTCAGGCATTTACTTGGATCTTCTGTTTTTCCAACTTAAGAGAATGCATTTTTTCAAATAGAGCCAGCCAACAAGAGAAGCAGCTACCCTGCTAGATCATGAGCTGCCTGTCACTGGAGGTAGACAAGCAGAGAAGACAGGGCTTTGACTTGTTGGAAGTGACTGTTACTGTCCTGCCAGATTGTGAGCTTCTGGTGGGCAGGGACCATATTATGATTTCTCTGCCCAGCAAGTATCTGTGAGTGAATGAACGTGACTGTCACGTGAAGAATGTCTTGGAGGCATGAACAGAGAGGAGGGAGCACGGCCCTGCACTAGGCACTGAGGGAAACTCACACTGAATGAGACTCAGGCTTTTCACACTAGGGGCTATGGCCAGATCCAGGGGACAGTGGATCTGTAAATACCGGTACCAGAAGGTGCAGGCAGCTAGGCTTTCTAAGATAGGTATAGATCTCATGTATACCCACTTGAGAAGGTCCTGGGAAGTCTTCTAGAGAGGGGATATAGGAGTGAGGCCTTGAGGGATGGGGACTGGCAAGATGAGGTACCTCCAGATGCATCGGAGGGAAAGGTGTGGGAGTGGGAATGTGCAGTTTGTCAGTGGAGTGGAAGGGACATTGGAAGATCAGACTGGAGGGCCCCAAACCAGACCGACTCTCCTTCATCTAGCAGATCTGGGCTTCTCAAACCTTTCCTCCAGAGTATTTGAGCCCAGAAGGGGGCTGCTTACCTAAACCTCAGTGTTTCTGTAAAATCTCATTTTATCTCAGAGATTCAAGTACATATTTCATAATTATAAACATTTGTTTTAATGCAGACATTTTCCTTCCTTAAATATTAGAGAATATGGCTCTGGGGAGATGTGCCTACGTTTGTCCTGTGGCTTCAGATACCTCTTGGTACGAGCCAGTGTGAGAGGCAAGGCGGCAAATAATCCATAGGATTTTATTGTTTATTAAACGCTTTTACATGTTTTCTATGAGCACGTCCTTCGAGGCTCCTTTATAAATAAATTCTGAAAAGTTCTCTCAGGCAGTTTTTCTGGGAGCTGTGCTTCTTGCTAAGGGAGCCATTGTACGTCACATGAGGGTTTCATAGTTCTGTTTTATTTTTGTAAGAGTACCAAGTTACCTTCTTTGGGGAAAAATGGCATTTTTTTCTAGTGTGGATAATTTTGCATCGTGCATGTGTGCACGTGTGTGAGGTTCTTTCTGCCTTTTTGTCCCTTTTGTTCATGTTTTGTATGGGGTGGGGATTGGATAGGGGATAATAGGAAGAAAAAAGGAGGGACTAAGAAGATAATGAGCACCCCCCTTTATTTTAATTTAGAGATGGGGAGGAGCAGAGGGAGAGGGAGAGAGAGAATCTTAAGCAGGGCTCCATTGCATGACCCTGAGATCATGACCTGAGCCGAAATCAAGAGTTGGACACTTAACCATCTGTGCCCCCCAGGTGCCCCAAGCCTGTATCTTTTTTATCTTGCCTTTGGCAACTCCTCTGTTTTTTATCATCTGTGAGAGGTGACTGATCTGATAAATGTTCCTGGGAAATGAGTGAGCAGAAGTGTTAAGCCACTGCTTGAGCTGGACCTTCTGCGGTGGTCAGACGGTGTGTGCTGGGGAGACCACGGCCTTCAGTGCTAACCTGGTTTGAAACTCTGGAGGCTTGGACAAGTCTAGGGTCTGTGCTCAGGATCTGGAAACAATAGGGCTTAGAGGAATGTTGCTTATATCTATTAAGTAACTCTGTATTATGCTTAGGTGTTTTTCATTAAAATAGATTAGAACCCGTGCTGGGTAATGTTCTTTTAGGTGCATCTGTTTTAATGTAAAAAAAGGAGAATGAGAGGGCACCTGGGTGGCTCAGTCATTAAGCGTCTGCCTTCGGCTCAGGTCATGATCCCAGGGTCCTGGGATCGAGCCTCGCATCGGGCTCCCTGCTCGGCGGGAAGCCTGCTTCTCCGTCTCCCACACCCCCTGCTTGTGTTCCCTCTGTCGCTATCTCTCTCTCTGTCAAATAAATAAACATAAAATCTTAAAGAAAAGGAGAATGAGAAAGAAAGAAAGCATGCTAATCCCTGAGCCCTTGACCAAGGACCCATACCTCAGGACCCCTGGACCCTCTCACCATCCTGTCTGTGGGATCGTGCTGGGGGGTGGTGGCTAATTAAACCTGATGGCAGACCTAGAGGAGGAGGGCAAATGGGAGCATCATTGTGCGCAAGCACTGTGAAAATATGGAGTGCCAAACTGATATAAAGTAGGAGTAGCCTCACTTGACAGATGAGGAAATGGAGTCAGAGAGGCTCACTGACCATTGCCAGGCAGTTAGTTAGGACAAGAGTCAGGACAAGGCCTGAGATCTTGACATTGTTGGATCTGGATGGTGGGCCTGTATTGTCATTGCTTAGAGTCTGTCATACCCTGGGCTCCCCTAAGAATAAATGGATTTTTTGTTTATTGTCTGTATGTCCCTGGGAAATTCTTTTCTTTGAGTCTTTGTTTTTTCATCTACGAAATGGACATTTTACACCTTCCCAAAGCAGTTGTGACATGAAAGGTGATATAGAAGGCCCACGTGTCAAAAGGAGAACCTAGAATAAGTGTGGAAGCAGAAGGCTGTTAACACGTATATCTGGGACATTTGTGGGACAGTGTGCTTGGGTGGGGTGGGGTAGGCTGTAGTCCAAGAAGGCTTCCCAGAGGAAGTGATATTTTTAGAGCTGACCATGGTCCCCACCATCCTGCTGCCTTCTTCCCTCCTCAGGACCTCCATGTTCCCAGTGAGGACCGCATCAAGCAGCTGCTGGGGCAGGATGCCTGGACCTCGCAGAAGAGTGAGCTGGCTGGTTTCTATCCCCGGCTCATGGCCAAGTCAGACACGGGCAAGATTGGTTTAATCAATCTGGGCAACACATGCTACGTGAACAGCATCCTTCAGGCCTTATTCATGGCTTCTGAGTAGGTGCTGCTTTTGAATTTCCCATCTGCCCCTCCTTCTCTACTTTGGGCTCCCTGGTGTATGGGGGGGATGAGGGGTTGGAGAGGGTAGTGGGGGATTGGAGAGGGTGGGTCCCCCTTTGCATTGATGGCATAATTCCCTGAGGTTTGTGGGTACATGATGGTGAGTGGTCCCTGAGGGCTCCAGGCCATTGACAAGGCAGTAGGTCAAGACTGGGTGGGAACTTGAGATGGGACTTCAGGGACTGGGCTATAGTGGAAGGGGGTCTACGCTGGGTTGGTCAGCATCACTGATTTTTTTTCCCTGGAGTCCAAGGGGATGGATTGTGTTTTCCACTCACCCTGGTATTAGGCATTCCCTGCCCCCTTATTAAAACAAAATCTTTATTGGCAATGGCTACCTATCTAACTTCAGGCTTGATTAAAAATCACTCAAGATTTCAGTCACAGAAGTAGACATCTTTTTTTCCCCAGTTTTTGTGTGTGTGGCGCCTGGATGGCTCAGACGGTTAAGCGTCTGCCTTCGGCTCAGGTCATGATCCCAGGGTCCTGGGATCGAGCCCTGCATCGGGCTCCCTGCTCAGTGGGAAGCCTGCTTCTCCCTCTCCCTCTGCCTGCCGCTCCCCCCTGCTTGTGCTCTCTCTGTCAAATAAAAAATAAAAAATCTTAAAAAAAATGCACATAAAATTTACCATATTAACCATTTTAATTGTACAGTTCAGTGGTATTAAATACATTCACATTGTTGTGCAACCATTTCCACCGTGTAACTTTTCATCTTGTAAATCTGAAATTCTACACTTGCTAAACAATAACTTCTCATATTCCCATTCTCCCTTCCCCCAGGCTCTGGAAACCCCATTATACTGGCAACCCAAATATTGCTTTTACATTTTGGCCAGTTCAAATAGCTCTCTGGGATCCTGCTTTCTATTCTTTTGGGTATATATCCAGAAGTGGAATTCCTGGGTCGTAGGGTAGTTCTATGATTAACTTTTTGAGGAACCTCCATGTTTTCCACAGTGGCTACACCACTTTACATTCTCACCAACAGTGCACATGGGTTCTAGTTTCTCCACATCCTTGCCAACATTTGTGTTTTTTTTTCTTTTCTTTTTTTTTTTTTAAGATTTTATTTATTTATTTGACAGAGACAAAGCGAGAGAAGGAACACAAGCAAGGGGAGTGGGAGAGGGAGAAGCAGGCTTCCTGCTGAGTAGGGAGCCCGATGTGGGGCTCAATCCCAGGACCCTGGGATCATGACCTGAGCCGAAGGCAGATGCTTAACGACTGAGCCACCCAGGCGTCCCTTTTTTTCTTTCTTTTTAAGAGAGCAGAGGGAGGGGCAGAGAGAGAATCTTAAGCAGGCTCCATGCCCAGTGCAGAGCCCAAGGCGGGACTCTGAGATCAAGACCTGAGCCAAAATCAAGAAGTGGTCGCTTAACTGACTGAGCCACGGAGGTGCCCCTCTGTTTTATTGATAGTAGCCATCCCATTGGGTGTGAGGTGGTATCCCATTGTAATTTTGATTTGCATTTTTCTAATGATTAGTGATGTTGAGCATCTTTTCATGTGCTCCTTGGCCATTTGTATATCTTCTTTGGAGAAGTGTCTACTTTGGTCCTTTTCCATTTTGAATTAGGTTTTTTTTTTTTTTGTTGAATTTTAGGTAGGGGTTCTCTCTATATTCTGAATATTAATCTCTTCTCAGATACATGATTTGCAAATATTTCTTTCATACTGTGGGTTGCCTTTTTGTTCTGGATAGTCTTTTTAATTTTTTGTTGTTAAAAGAGGTTGCATTTATTTATTTTATTGAGCTCTATTTGACATTGTATTAATTTTGGGCATACAACATATCTGATATGTGTATATATCATGAAATGATCACCACAATAAGTCTTGTTAACATCCATCACCACACACAGTTAAAATTTTTCTTTCTTGTAATGAGGACTTTTAAGATTTACTCTCTTAGCAACTTTCAGATATACAGTATGGTATTATTAACTGCAATCATGTGCTATACATTACATCCCAGGACTTGTTATATAACTGTAAGTATGTACCTCTTTACCTTGACCATCTTCACCTGTTTTGCCCCCCGCAACCACCAGTCCATTACCTGTATCTATCATTGTTTTGTTCTGTTTTGTTAGATTCCACATATAAGTGAGATCACACAGTATTTGTGTTTTTCTGTCTAACTTATTTTGTATAATGCCCTCTAGGTTCATCCAATTGTGACAAATTGCAGGATTTCCTTCATTCTCGTGGCTGAGTAATATTGCATTATGTATATAAGGAATAAGTGTATTTTCTTTAGCCATTCATTTGTCAGTGGACACTTAGGTTGTTTCCATATCTTGGCTATTGTAAATAATGCTGCACTGAACATGGGGTTGCATATATCTTTTCAAGTTAGTGTTTTTGTTTTCTTTGGATAAACACTCTAAAGTGGAAATGCTGGATCATAAAGTAATTCTCTATTTTTAATTTTTTGAAGAACCTCCATACTGTTTTCTAGAGTAGTTATACCAGTTTACATTCCCATCAAGTTATACCAATTTACATTCCCTTTTGTTCCACATCCTTGCCAACACTTGTTATTTCTTGTCTCTGAGATAGCCATTCTAACAGGTGTTAGGTGGTATCTTATTGTGGATTTGATTTCCCTAATGATAGTGATGTTGAGCAACTTTTCATGTACCTGTGGGCCATCTTCTTTGGAAAAATGGTCTGTTGAGATCCTCTGCCTGTTTTTTAGTAGGATTGCTTTTTTCCTGTTGAGTTGTGTGAGTTCTTTATATATTTTGGATTTTATTAGCCCCTTATCAGAAAGATGATTTGCAAATATTTTCTCTCATTTTTGTAGGATGTCATGTGATCCTTTTGTTGATGGTTTCCTTTGATGTGCAGGAGCTTTTCAATTTGATGTAGTCCCACTTGTTTATTTTTCTTTTGTCATCTTTATTTTTAGTGTCAGATCCAAAAAATCATTGTCAAGATGATGTCAAGTAGCTTACAGACTTTGTTTTCTTATGGGAATTGTATGGTTTCAAGTCTTATGTTCAAGTCTTTAATCCATTTTGAGTTGGTTTTTTGGTATGGTGTAAGAAAGTGCAGTTTCATTCCTTTGCATGTGGGTCTCCAGTTTTCCCAACATCATTTATTGAAGAGACTGTCCTTTCCCCACTGTGTATTCTGGGCTCCTTTTTTGTATATTAATTGACCATATAAGCACGGGTTTATTTTGGGGCACTCTCTTGTGTTGCATCAGTCTGTTTTTTTATGCCAGTACCATATTGTTTTTGACTACTATAGTTTTTTTTTTTTTTTTTAAGATTTTATTTATTTGACAGAGAGAGACACAGTGAGAGAGGGAACACAAGCAGGGGAAGTGGGAGAGGGAGAAGCAGGCTTCCCGCCGAGCAGGGAGCCCGATGCGGGGCTGGATCCCAGGACCCCGGGATCATGACCTGAGCCGAAGGCAGACGCTTAACGACTGAGCCACCCAGGCGCCCCTGACTACTATAGTTTTGTAATGTAGTTTGAAATCCAGAATTATGATGCCTCCAGCTTTTTCTTTTTTAAAATTGCTTTGGCTATTTGAGGTCTTTTGTAGCTCCATTACAAATTTTAGGGTAGTTTGTTTTATTTCAGTGAAAAATGCTATTGTCAATTAGATAAGGATTGTATTGAATTTTAGATTGTTTTGGGAAGTATGGACATTTTAACAGTATTAATTCTTCCAATCCATGAACATAGAATACCGTTCCATTTATTTGCATCTTCTTTAATCTCTCTCATCTTTCATCTCTTTACCTTGTTGTGAGAAGACCAGGGTAGTGGCCTAACTGTACATCACAGTGACTACCTCATTCAGTTTGCTTCATCTCATCACATAGGCATTTTATCATCTCACATCATAAGGAGAAGAAGGGTGAATATTTTGAGAGAGAGACCATGTTCACATGACCTTTATTACAGTATGTTGTTACATTTTATTATTAATTATTGCTAATGTCTTGCAATGCCTTATTTATAAAGAAATAAATTTATAAAATAAACTTTATCATAGGTATGTATAGGAGAGAACAGTGTGTGTGTGTGTGTGTGTGTGTGTGTGTGTCTTTGTATAGGATTGGTACCATTTATAGTTTCAAGCAGCCATTGGGACTCTTGGAATGTATCTCCTGCAGGTAAGTGGGGACTTCTGTACAGGTCTTTCACCTTCTTGGTTAAATTTGATGCAATTGTAAATGGGATTTTTTTTTTTTTTAAAGATTTTATTTATTTATTTGAGAGAGAGGATGAGAAAGAGAGAGCACATGAGAGGGGGGAGGGTCAGAAGGAGAAGCAGACTCCCTGCCGAGCAGGGAGCCCGATGCGGGACTCGATCCGGGGACTCCAAGATCATGACCTGAGGCGAAGGCAGTCGCTTAACCAACTGAGCCACCCAGGCACCCGTAAATGGGATTTTTAAATTTATCTTTCTTATGGTTCGTTATCCTGTATTGAAATGCAACAGATTTTTGTATCCTGCAACGTTACTGAATTCGTTTATTCTAAGAATTTTTTGGTGGAGTCTAGGGTTTTTTTTTTATATGTAATATCATGTCTTCAACAATAGAGACAGTTTTATTTCTTCCCTTCCAATTATGATGCCTTTTCTTTTTCTTGCCTAATTACTAGCTAGGACTTCCAATACTATGTTGAATAAAAGTGATGAGAATGGACATCTTATCTTGTTCCTGATCTTAGGGGAAAAGCTTTCAGGTTTTCACCACTGAATGTGTTGTTAGCTCTGGACTTGTCATAGATGGCCTTTATTATGTTGAGGTATGTTTCTTCTATACCTACTATTTTTGAGAGTTTTTATTAAACATAAATGGATATTGAGTTTCATGAATCTTTTGAGATGATCATATGATTTTTATCCTTCATTTTGTTAATGTAGTGTACTACATTGATTGCTTTGTGGATGTTGAACCATCTTT